CTACGGGCCTGGATTCTAAACGATATCCTACTCAAGTCTTGAACAACTTTTATCTTTACTTCGTAGGACTCGTATGAAATTCAGCCCTGGAATTATTCAAGCTCATTGAAATTAAAAATTGCAGTCGTAGAAAGGGGTCCAGGTCTTTAAATTGCAGAATGTCGTCGTAGTTGAGCGCGTTGAAAATTGAACTGGATGATAGAGGCTATTTATTTTCTATATCTGATTTTATGTTAGTTGTACAGCGACACCTGCCGTCATAATCATGACCTTCAAATATATTCGACATGTATTTAGAGAAATGTTTCGCAACATTTGTGAAGCGAGATTTTTTACTGAACGTTTGTATTTGAACATTTATTGGTAGAGTTTAGTGTTTGACGTTTTGTATTTGAACATTTATTGGTAGAGTTTAGTGTTTGACGTTTTGCATTTGAACATTTGTTGGTAGAGTTTAGTGTTTGACGTTTTGTATTTGAACATTTATTGGTAGAGTTTAGTGTTTGACGTTTTGAAGATATGTTGAGCTAAATTTGTATTGAAGATGTTTTTGGCATGAATTCTATAAATTCAATAATTGGAAAACCGAATGTTTATCGAAGATTGTTCATTTTCGGTACAAATTAAGATTTTTGTATACAAATTGCAATAAGAAATATTGAATTAAGCGTCCAAATTAAGAGATAAGAATTTAGAATTAAGAATTAAGAAATAACAATAAAGAACATTGAATAAAAAGCCATTCCGCCTTCCATATTTATCAGGCTCAAAGATAATAACCATTTGTTATTGGTTCAAACTTAAGCGTTTCTGTCCTTGAGACTTGATTGGATAATAAGACTTCTACAAGATGGGCGTTGATTGGTTGAGGGCTAACAATGCAAATGGTGACATTTTATTGTCACAGGGATACAATGAATAATCTATTACAGTTTAAAATATAGGTTTAATTAGTTAGATGGACTAAGAACAGAATAAAGGGTTAATAGTTTTTAAAACTCGAGGTGTTAGTAGTAGGCTATATAGTATAACAAATCATTTCAGTTTTAAAACTCGAGGTGTTAGTAGTAGGCTATATAGTATAACAAATCATTTCAGTTTTAAAACTCGAGGTGTTAGTAGTAGGCTATATAGTATAACAAATCATTTCAGTTTTAAAACTCGAGGTGTTAGTAGTAGGCTATATAGTATAACAAATCATTTCAGTTTTAAAACTCGAGGTGTTAGTAGTAGGCTATATAGTATAACAAATCATTTCAGTTTTAAAACTCGAGGTGTTAGTAGTAGGCTATATAGTATAACAAATCATTTCAGTTTTAAAACTCGAGGTGTTAGTAGTAGGCTATATAGTATAACAAATCATTTCAGTTTTAAAACTCGAGGTGTTAGTAGTAGGCTATATAGTATAACAAATCATTTCAGTTTTAAAACTCGAGGTGTTAGTAGTAGGCTATATAGTATAACAAATCATTTCAGTTTTAAAACTCGAGGTGTTAGTAGTAGGCTATATAGTATAACAAATCATTTCAGTTTTAAAACTCGAGGTGTTAGTAGTAGGCTATATAGTATAACAAATCATTTCAGTTTTAAAACTCGAGGTGTTAGTAGTAGGCTATATAGTATAACAAATCATTTCAGTTTTGAAACTCGAGGTGTTAGTAGTAGGCTATATAGTATAACAAATCATTTCAGTTTTAAAACTCGAGGTGTTAGTAGTAGGCTATATAGTATAACAAATCATTTCAGTTTTAAAACTCGAGGTGTTAGTAGTAGGCTATATAGTATAACAAATCATTTCAGTTTTAAAACTCGAGGTGTTAGTAGTAGGCTATATAGTATAACAAATCATTTCAGTTTTAAAACTCGAGGTGTTAGTAGTAGGCTATATAGTATAACAAATCATTTCAGTTTTAAAACTCGAGGTGTTAGTAGTAGGCTATATAGTATAACAAATCATTTCAGTTTTAAAACAGTTTATTGTTCTTTTATCCATTCTATAAATGATGATACTCGAGTATACACACTGGGAGTACTTCCGGGGCAGCCTACTTGACCCCATGACGTCACACCCGCTAATTTACCAGAACATACCATTGGTCCACCACTATCTCCCTAGAAACAGATGTTTATATACATCATCACGTTACAAAAAGCAACAATACTTTGATATACAACAAAAGCAACAGCACTATCAAGTTAAACAACAATAGCGGATTCAACAACAACTACAACAACAATAGCGGATTCAACAACAACTACAACAACAAAATTGACGGCATCAACATGTAACATCAACAACATCAAAATGTTAAGCAACAGCGGTAACAACATCAAAGGCATTAAAATATTACACAACAACATCAGCTCCATCTCCATCAACATATTAACCTACAACAAAACAACAGTATGGTAGTACAACAAGGTGTTTGTAGTACAACAAGGTGTCTGTAGTACAACAAGGTGTCTGTAGTACAACAAGGTGTCTGTAGTACAACAAGGTGTCTGTAGTACAACAAGGTGTCTGTAGTACAACAAGTGTCTGTAGTACAAAAAGGTGTCTGTAGTACAACAAGGTGTTTGTAGTACAACAAGGTGTCTGTAGTACAACAAGGTGTCTGTAGTACAACAAGGTGTCTGTAGATGAAAGTACTTACATTACACGATGACTTGGGCGGATCATAAATACAAATCATCTCATCAAAGATATTCAAAGCACCCCAGATCCATGCACATAAGGCGTTCGAGATCTGCTGCATGTCGACAAACATCAGTTCATTGGAAATTGGTTGGTCTCCTGAGAAGTGAGGAAAATAGATTTGGATTAAAATAGTGGAATGTATGTGATATGGACTAGGTGGTGATAGATTGGGCCATGTCGACTCTTCAGGAGAGAAGATTGATACCCTTCACATACATGATTTTTAAGAATACAATAAGTATTCATGACATGCATGTTAGTTGTTCGTAGTTATCGGTGACAACATTCGGATCTTGTGGTAAATACATCGTAATAACTCGTATGATGCTTGTGGTTTACTATGAGTTAGCGAATCGTAAGTACTCGTGTAAATCGTGTATGTGAAGGGGGTATAAGAGAAAAGAATGATTTATTAAGTATATCTACCATAGCAATACATCTCTTGTGGGTTTTAAGCTGTTAGATGTGTTAGTCTAAGATAGTCCACGTGATATGGACTTTATTGCTCCTAAAATGTTGTAATAATGGTTGTGCATCACGATTGTCATTTGACTAAAATGATATGAGATACAGCCGGGGTTCCTGATCTCGACTATTGATTGGGTTGTGTTCAGGTCCGCCTTCTCTTTCTGACCTAAATAGGTTCCTGTCGGTCAGTTTTCTATTAGTAAAATTGTTGGATGCTAATGCTTCCTCACTACAGTGAAGTTTGAACTAACCTCCAGTTCTTCCCCAGCCACTAATAGTACACTCCTCTCCAGTGAAATCGTCTTCAACATCAGCTAATGGTATGGTCCCAATCTGTGGTATATCAGTATTAGCATCTGTTGCTAGTTTTAGTACGGCTATATCATTGGGTGTGGCCACTAGCTCAGGATTATAATCAGGATGCTATATAACATGAAAATCAATTACTTTAGATGTTCAGGAAGAAGTTCAAGCTGGGGTGAGGTGTAGCTGGGGTGGGGTGTAGCTGAGGTGGGGTGGGGTGTAGCTAGGGATGGGGTGTAGCTAGGGGAGGTGTAGCTGGGGTGGGGTGTAGCTAGGGGTGGGGTGTAGCTAGGGGTGGGTAGGGGTGTAGCTGAGGTGGGGTGGGGTGTAGCTAGGGGTTGGGTGTAGCTGAGGTGGGGTGGGGTGTAGCTAGGGGTGGGGTATAGCTAGGGGTGGGGTGGGGTGTAGCTGGGTTGGGGTGGGGTGTAGCCGAGGTGGGGTGGGTTGTAGCTAGGGGTGGGGTGGGGTGTAGCTGGGATGGGGTGGGGTGTAGCCGGGGTTGGTTGTAGCTTGGGTGGGGTGGGC